TCGGATTCCCCTTGTCCGCACCAGTTCTGAGTCGGCAGTTTGATGCTTAGGGAGAGTCCCACGGCCCCACCCGAAAGGTGGGGACATAAGACATTCTACGCCCGTCGGCACACTGGCACGCGGGCTCCGCCCTCGCCGCGAGAGCAGCTCGGGCAGACCAAATGCAGCCAACGACATCGAGGCGCAGACCCCTAGGCCCAGCCCTCAGAGCCAATCCTTTTCCCAAGGTTACGGATCCATATTGCCGACTTCACTTACCTACATTCTTCCTTTGACCAGAGGTTGCTCACCTAGGAGACCTGATGCGGTTATGAGTACGCACAGGCGTGAGAGGTACCCGCAGCTCCTGATTTTCAAGGGCCATCGGGGGCGCGCTGGACACCACAGGACGCGMGGTGCTTTGCCGGGCGCTGCACCCTATCTCGGGTTGATCCGATACCAGGGTGGGCGAGCCGTCAAGAAGGAAAGAGAACCGTCCCCACGGCCCCCACCGGCATCTTCGGAGCTGCTTACGTTACCGTCCACCTCCACAACCCGGTTCGGGAATATTAACCCGACCCCCTTTTGATGTGCGGCGCGCAGTGCGCCCTTGATACAAGGTGTCCACATCTCTTAGGGCCGACTGACCCATGTCCAAGCGCTGTTCACATGGAACCCTTCTCCACTTCGGTCTTCAAAGTTCTCATTTGAATATTTGCTTCTACCACCAAGATCTGCATCGGGACCCGCTTCACCTAGGCTTACGCTCCAGGCTTCGCAGCAGGCCCCACGCCCTTCTACTGGTCGCGGCGTTAGAATCGCCGCGACGGCCAAGCATAGGTCGCGTGCTTCAGCGCCATCCATTTTCGGGGCTGATTGATTCGGCAGGTGAGTTGTTACACACTCCTTAGCGGATTTCGACTTCCATGACCACCGTCCTGCTCTCTGTATCAATCAACACCCTTTGTGGTGTCTGGGTTAGCGCGCAGTTTGGCACCGTAGCTCGACTTTCGGTTTATCTTGCATCGCCAGTTCTGCTTACCAAAAWTGGCCCACTTGGAGCTTTCATTGATCCTCGGGGTTCGCTTAAGCAACCCCCAAATCTTACCTATTTAAAGTTTGAGAATAAGTCGAGGGTGTTTCACCCCCGACGCCTCTAATCATTCGCTTTACCCGATAAAACTGTTCAACAGCTCCAGCTATCCTGAGGGAAACTTCGGAGGGAACCAGCTACTAGACGGTTCGATTAGTCTTTCGCCCCTATACCCAAGTCCGACGAACGATTTGCACGTCAGTAT